GGGCCACCAAATATGAAGCTTCAATGGCTGCTGCATTTTGTTTGTCATACTTGCCACCAGGTCAAGTCTGGCTTTCTTGAGTCTATCAGCTTTGCTTCTAAAGTAGTTGCTGTTCTTGCCAGCAAAGTTTGCATGCTTGCTATCAAAATGGCGTTTTAGTTTGTTCAGCTTCATAGATTTGGCTGATAGAACTTTGAGTTAGTTTATTGTGCCAACCTGGCCGATAAACACATGTGGGGTTAATTGAAGGGCAGAGAGATAAATGGTTTGATGAGCCTCACCTTTCTAGTTCTCGGGTCTCTTGCTTTCTGATTGTAGGACCAGGGTTCAGCTGCCTTAGCCAGTTGCCTGCTTCAACTGACAAGGCTCACTTTATGCAAGACATCCCTGAGGAGAAGCCACATGGACCTACCCCGATGCAGCCTGGGTGCTGGAGCAGCCATGTGGAGACCACTGATGCTGAAGTGCTTACACATTCACTGATTCGGCTTTCCTTCTGCAGTCGGCATCATTGCATCTGTTTTGTGAGATAGAGAAGGACTTTGTTGATTGGTGTCAGACATAAGGGTTAATGTTGGACTTGTGGGCTTGAGCAGCACTGGGTTCGTATATTTTCTTGATGTGCACTTAACCTTTATATAAAACTCTCTCTTATACATGAGTTTCTGTGGATTTATTTCTCTAAAGTACCCAGACTAACACAAACTTCACAAGAAATAACACATTGTGGTTTCTCAATTCCTGCTTTATTTATTGAGGTAAAGGAGCTGATACCAAGGGCTCAAGTAGAAAGAAAATGTTTTGAGAATGATGATGGCAGCAAATGTACAAGTGTGCTTGACACAATGGATGTCTGTATGTATTGTGATAAGAGTTGTACCAGCTCCCCAAAAGTGATTAAATGAAAAATCCTCACTATATTTTCTATTCTTAATGTTTTCCTCTACACAATCCATTGTCATGGCACGGTTTGCTAATGAAAATAATATATAACAATAGCTTTAATAATACAAAAGATGATACATGGTATAGTTCTGTCAATATAGTTCATTAAAGTTTCCTATGATTTACCATTCTCTATTTTGTTTTTTTACATACCTGATATTATCACAAGGGCAGTATTCACATCAACCACAGCTGAATATAAAAAGACTTATCAGCATCCAGATTAAGTTCCCAATGTACAGATTTTTTTTTCAGTAGTTGATGATTTTACATTTACCCAGTAATTATAATTCATGAAGTGTCATTTTACCTCCAGCACTGCTGCTTTCAACACAGTAGCTGCTTTTAACAGAGTTGTTGATTTCAACACAGTAGCTGCTCTCTACACTAGTGTGACTGGTCTGCATAAGTGCCTTATGGCGCCAACCCTGTCAAATATACCTGTATTTGTATGGGGTGTATGTGATGGTGTGTATGTGATGTCATCATGCCGGGTACTTGTATGCGGGCGTATCTGCATGTGGTTGGACCTGCCTGGAGACAAATAGAGGAGCCGTATCTCAGTTCCAAAGATCATCGGAAATATGTGTTTTCTGATGGTCTTAGGCGGCCCTTGTGAAAGAGTCATTCAACACTCAAAGGGATCATGACCCACAGGTTGAGAACTACCTCACTATCTATCTGGTAAGCAAATAAGCCAACATGGAAGAAGCATATACAAGCCTGTGTGATCATGAGTGTTGATGGGATCAGGTCTCAGGCATCAAAGACCCAGAACAAAAAATCATATTGATGGGAAGGAGGAGGGTGGAGTGGAGAAGCAGACCTATCTGTAGACTATTGGACATCCTCTCACAGAAGGGTCACAAGGAAGAGAAGAGCCAGTCAGGGTGCAGTATAGCACCGATAAAACATACAACCTTGCTCTAGTTCTTTAATGTTTCCTCTCACCCACTATCTTGACCCCAATTCTACCTTACAAATCCGGCTAGACCAGAGCATGTATACTGGTACAGTTCAGAGCTCACAACACAGGAAATCCAGGACAGATAAACTCCTCAGGACCAATAATGAGTGTAGCAATAATTTCTTTAAAGGATTTAATACCCAAATGTATAATAACTCTTAAAACAAAGCAACAAAAGGCAAATATATCACAGAATTATTATGGCAAGTGTATAGAGATCAAAGTTTATTAGTAGCTAATAATGTTTTTCAGCAGGGTTGGGGAAGGAAGACTCAATGCTTGGTGGATACTGAACTTCTTCATGGGTGATGGAAATATTTGAAAACAAACACAATGAACAATCTGATAAACATAAGATTTATCAGTGGACTATATATATGAAGATACGTGGTGTACGTACATGCTTTTAGAAAGGAAAATAAAGCATTGGAAAATATTGAGAAGAATATGAATATTAAATTTTACCAAAAATAATTACAATGACCAATAAGCACATGAAAAGATACACATCATTAATCAAATGAAGCAAATCAAAATCACAATGTGCTATCGATTCACAACCACTAGAATCAAAATGATCAGATCAATGGACTCAGTCACTATTAAGGTGTGAAAATTGTATTC